TTAGTGCTCACGAGGAATACGCTTTTTTTTTTTTCTTTCTTCGCTGGAATCGAAGAAGAATCTCTCTTTCTTATCAAAATTGTTATTAAGAAAAATAAAAATAAAATTTGGGGGTTGAATTTGGGTCGTGTGTTTTAAAGTACATATTAAGAATCAGTGTTTGGATTTTATCTGATCGTACACGTGTAATTTTATGGTTATTGAACGGTGAGATTAGATAATGTGTACGTAGAGTGGTGTGTAGAGAATAATAGCACGTAGTAGCGTGTCTGTAGTCGGATTTTTAGTACGTTAATGACTAATGACCAAATAATACAGAGAAGAGGAAAGGGTGAGACAAAGTGGGACCCATTATTCGGTGTGGGTCCTTTACTTGTGTGACCGAAAAACACACCATCTGATTGGTTTTTTATTTTATTTTTCTATATTCATTAAAGAATTAATGTTATGAAATCAAAACCAATGAAATAATCACATTTTTCTTGCATTACTAATCTCATTTTTTATATAAGAAGTTTTAACCTTATCAAACTACTGAAAATGCACATCAACAAAACAGTATAAAAATGATCGAATCCACAGAGACCAAGTGCTACACTACGAAAGTATAAGAGTGAAGTTAAGCTAAGATGATAAAAATAATAGTTGTTTGCAAAATTAAATACAAATAACAAATAAATGATGTAAAACTTATGGATTAAAAACGTCAGATTTTAGGGATATTCGCAGGAAATCATAAATCATGAATCAGACAATTATTCAGGGAGCAATTCAGCGCAGTCTCGAACTCAAACATAAATATATAATCAATCCACTGTCGTGCATCAATCACTTTATCTAGCAACCTAGAATTCTAAAATGTCGTTTGAACCTAGAATTCTAGACAAGTATTAATGAGAATGTTTGATTTGTTCACAAATTACCTTAACATCAGCTTTCGTTGGCTAAGGACAATCTGCTCATCTATGTTCTTTCATGCATTTAATCAAACATTTTTGGTGCATTAAACATCCTAACAGCATGAA